ACTCCAGGCCACTCAAGACCATACTTGAGGGAGACTCTGGGAACCTGGACAATGAAGTGTGTGTGGCCTGTGGGGTCAGGTGGCTAGAGCCAAACTGAGATAGGAGATGGAGAGTGAGGCTTATTTTAAAGGAAAAACAAACTCCCCAGGACGGAAAGGCTTTCAACAAGATGCACTAGCTACCAAAAGAGCAAACAAAGGAGACAGTGGAACCAGGGTGCTCCTTGGAAGCAAGAGCGCTGAGACCTGACCTCACGTGTTCTGGGTATGTTGTCAGGAGGGGTCAGTCTCCACACCCCCAGAAACTGACTTCATACTTGAAAGGTAGAAGGTCAGAAAAAGAGGGGAAGACCCTCAGAAGACAGGCTGACATGGTGACACAGTCCTGTGAGATGAGTCAGGGTTTTGATCCCCCAGGAGTCCCAGGCCCGGGCCAGCGAGACTTAGGGCTGAAGATTAGATCTTCCTGCTGCTCCCTGTTCCAGAAGGTCACTAGTAAGACCATCTCTCGCCAAACCTCTCTGGAATTCTGCCTAAAAGGCCCTTTGCATTCCTTGATCAGAATTTACAACATTCAAGGGAGCTCTGGTGGCCTAGTGGCAAGAAGCTGCACTGCAATCCCAAAGTTATATGATTCGAATCCACCAGATGCTCTGCTGGAGAAGGAGGGGTAATTGATTTGACGGTACACACACAAAATAATAAAAAAAATTAAGAAATTTTAAAACTATTTTAAAAAAAGAATTAACAACATTCTATTGTTTGTTTGTTTTTACTTGTTATGTGCCATAGAATCAGACCCAACTAGCACAGGAGGAGATTGCCCATCCTTCTCCACCAGAGAGTATCTGGTGGATTTGAACTCTGTGCCTTTGGGATTGCAACACGTTCTACTATTTTTGTGTACCCTCTTGAACAATTCATAGCTGACCCTCATCATGTTTTTGGAGGTTTTCATTATTACTGCCTTTTATTCTCAGTATGTTAAAAAGCCAATATTTGAATAGCTGAGAGCGATAACAACAAATTCCTCAGAAGACGTGGCATTGTTTCAGTCAGAACAGACTCCCAGCTGAGCTTGGAAAGCTCTAACACTGGAGGAGACCACCCGCCCATCTCTCCCCCCAGGACCCAGCAGTGGATTTGAACCACCAGAGAGGGGAGGTCTCTGGGTTGACAGCACAACTCTCTGAGCACCAGGCCACTGGAGCGAAATAAACACTGTTTCAAAAGACAAGGTCCATCTGCAGTGGTCGGTAACGCGAATACAAGCTCAACAATGCCTCCCATTGCCAGGTGGCCCACAGCTGAGCCTCCTGGCAGGAGACTGCCCGTCTTCCTCCGGCGCTGCTGGTGGATTCCAGCTGCCATTTCCACTCTGTGGCCATGTCTGCGCCCCTACTGTATACCTCAGCCCTGCGACGCTGGTTGGGGACTTAAGTCACCAGACAGACCCTCAGGCCCAGAGCGCCCCTCCCCTCGGTGATGGCATTGACTGCTGACTCCCTCCGAGTTGCTGGGCCTGACTCCCAAAGGACTCGTGCAAAAAGCTTTGGATGGATAATGTGCTGAGTGAGGACGAAAAGGGGGGGTAAGTTGATCCAGAGAGTGGACAGGCCTCCTCTCGGTGCAAGACCACAGAGGGTAGGGGCTCCGGGAAGAGTGGCCAGCGGGTCCCTCCCCAGCGGCCCATGCGGAGAAGGAGCTCAGCCGGGGCCGGGGAGGTCCGTTTCTGCGTCCTGGTCCCAGGCCAGGTCGAGAAGGGATGGGGAAGGGCCGGGCCCGGGGGCGGCTC